AATCAGTGGTGTGTATGAGCAGAATCGAATTTGAATATATTGATGCTTACTGAGTCTTTTGTTCTCATTGCTATATTTATTACGATGAATTTTTATCACATTGATGGTAAGTATTTACCAAAGGGATTTACTTTTATTTTTTATGTAAATAATAAATTAATATCATTTCTATATATAGGTGACTCTGTTCCATGTTCTAATCGTGAACATTCACCATTATGTTTTTGTCGATCATCATATCGACGTTCCTTATTAACGGATTTATTTATTTCTAAAATATCTCTTTCTCAATGTGCTACTTCGTATTCTAGTAGACAATGTCGTCAAGGCCGGTTATCTCCGTCGTCAACACATGTCACTCAACTTGTACCAAATCTAGTTAATTATAGCCATTGTTTAGAAGATGCACATTGTCTTCATACCCTAAATAATACACAACGTTGTCAACGATGTCAAATAACGCCTTCATCGTTACTGACAGAAAATATTTCTTATATTATTAGTACAACAACAAATCATCTTCCAACAGATTCATGTTTTTATATTTGTGAACATGATAAATCATGTGGATTTTTATGTTTTGATCGTCGTATAACAGTAACAATCAATTGTAATATATGTCGAGGACGTAGACGCAATGTTACATGTCGGTAGGTCTTTAAAATCATGTCTCTATAGAAATTAATTAACATAACTAAATAATTTAATTTATATATTTATTTTTCAATAGTTGTATTAATACCAAACAACCTCAATCATGTCTTCGATTGACAACTGAAACAACAACTCCACGTTGGATGCAAAAACGTGGTTTTCCAGCTGCTGGAATTCTTGCATTAATGGTTTTAGCTACTGCTTTATTAATAATTATCATAAAACTTATCACTCGTCAATTAGATTTGTTAGCTGGACGTAATACTAAAACTCGTCGTCGTTCAATAACAACAATGACAACATATAGAAGTCGACAACCATCACCTTCAACAGCAATTAGTTATCCAAATACACCACTTATTCCTTCTGTACAATCACGGAAAGATATCGTTACGGCTAATACAATGGTTGAATTATTAAATGATAAATCACGAGAATATGTTGTAGATATTCATCAACGTACTAATGCTGATGATTTAGGTGTTTTTTTCTTAAAAAGGACTTCACCATTAAATCCCAAGTCAAAAGAAATAATCAATGTCAATGTTGGCAATGAAGAACGAGAAGCTCGAATTTGATTTTTTTTTGCTTGTTTTTGTTTTGTTTTTGATATCTGATTAACTGTGATGTTTCATTGAGTATGAGATAAAAAAGAAAAACTTTTTGAATGATAAAAACTTCTTCATGAATCTATTGATAAGCAAAATGTTTGATTAATTGTAAGTTGATCGCATAGATTTTATTTCAGAAGATGAACAAAAAAATTCTAATTAAATAATAGAAAAGAAAATATTATCTTGACACGTACCCGAATGACATAGTTGCTCATTAACTGAAATATGAGTCTATTCTAATGCATCATAACTAATAAATACACGAGACACTCAAACACAACAGTTATCCAATTAAAATCTTTGTTAAACTTACCAGTAGAAAATTACTATTCTTAATTTGTTGCATATTATTTAATGCAGAAAACTATTCATCATGTACTATTTTCGATGCTAAGAATAACAAAACCTATTGGAATTTCATTTTTATCATAAATTTTGATATATTGTATTGAATAATTTCTTATAATTATTTAAATAAATAGTAATTTACTTTTCAAAAAAAAAACAGATTAGACTCATTAATATAAACTTGAATAATATAAATATTTAATGGACATTGTAGATTATCTCAAATAACAACTTTTTAATTAGAAATAAATAATTTATTCTAAAATAGATTTTTCTCTAGTTCTCTATCATGGAAAAAAAAAGTCATAAATCAATATCTTTGTTTTTTTTTCCTGAATATTATATATAGTACTACTTATTGAATACCAAATTTGGATGATCAAGTTGCAGAATGAAGGAAGCATTCTTAATGAGATTTTGCCGATTACCCTATAGAAATACAGCTGAATAAACTTATTGTTGTACTTTATAACTTATACGTTTTAGAATATATTTTACAGATCTTATTGTTTGATGATTTTTTAATTAACATTCAAATACATCGGCACATTTTACACTATGATTAACAAATAAAAGAATTCAAAAGAAAAAATACTGAAATATTATTAATTAATAATTTCATTGAAAATATAAATATCTTCAAATTTGTATTTTCATTGTCTATAGTAATTAAAAGAAAAAAGACTTCGAGATTTTTATGAATGTCGAAAAATAAAGAACTATTCAAAATTCATGTTTTATTGTATGACAATGTCTATTGTCAAAAGTTTAACTAGGAATAAATCCTATACAATAAAATCAAAAATAAAAGTTGTAAAAAGTAGAATTTTATTTGTTTGATATTGATGTATTGTAGATAAATTTAAGTCGTATTGATTTTTTTTTATTTTCCTAATTGTTGTATTATCGAAATATACATAAACGATCATACACAAGAAAAGAATTACAGGATAGCAACGGAAGAATTTATTTAAACCGGAATGTTCCCTTTTGTTTACCATCTTACTTGCCCTTTATATTCTTCTTTTAATGAAATTCGTTTAACTGTTTCATAACCAAATATAATAAATAATGAATAAACACATGAATGAGAAAGACGAGCTGTTAAACCTTTTGTAAATATTTTAAAACGTTCTTCTTGCCATAATTCATGCATTATTTGCATAACTTTTCGTCGTTCTTGTTCAACTTGTATACGTGTACGACATACATCAAGTGGATTTGTAAGTAATGTCGATGTAAGAGAAGATAATGGACCAGCAATACATTGAATTACAAGTAATGGTAATGGGAATAAATTAGCTGAAACAAAAAAAAAAATAAAAAAATAAACATGAATATACATTTGAATATGACAAAAAATTTCTTTTGCTTCTAAACAATGTTATGACTATAACGTAATTAAAAATTATCAACACACAAAATGTCTTCAAATAAACATATTAGACTTACGAAATCTAGCTTCAATATTGAGCATTTGTCTTTGATAAAAATAATATGATGGCCACCAAATTGCACTAGTTAAACTGAATAAAAATGTTGAAATAAAATATCCACGATAAAAACCTTTTAAACTCAGGCGAGGTTTATGATTATTAGATTCATTTTCATAGAGTACTATTTTACATATATGTTTAAATATTAAATAATTACTATTACGAATTTCTTTTGGTACATGTATACGACGAATTTGTCGGCGTGTTATATTTGCTTCTGTTACTGTTGTATCTGATACAGATGTTATACCATCTTTAGTACGAATTTTTTTTCCTGGTGATGTTAAACCAACTAATTGCATATGTTGAGATATAATATCAATTGGACAAGCAAGTATTTGTGCTACTAATGAAGCTGTTGAACCAGCAAAACCAGCACGTAAATATTCATTTTTAGTTAAAATATTGGCATGTGAACGTGTGGCTTCAAATGTTGTTATATAAATTAAACCAGGTACTAATTGAAAATTATAAACAAGAAAACCTTTATACAATGAACGAAAACCTTCATAACGAACAGTTGTTGTTAATGCATCCCATGTTCCTTTATAAATTGATGATTGTACTTGTACTTGTAAACGTGTACGAACAAGTGTAAATGGATAAAGAAGTGAACGAACAGTAAATGTCGATAGAAGATTTAAAGGAACATATCGACTTTTATTAAGCATCGGCCAATCAATATCATGTATTATCCTTGGATCATCGCTTTCAGACATGAAGTGCTTAAAAATAAATAAATAGAGATTCATTCATTTTAAGAGTTGATTTTATCAGAAAAATTTTTATGTTCTATTCAGAATCTATTTAATCATTAACATCAACAACCAAACTAATACAAAATGAAACATTCAAATATAACAATCTGTATAAGGTTTTTTTTTTTTATATAGAACATGAAATAAATGAAAAAATTCCTATTAGAAGAACTTGACGATTTTACAAATAACAAACAAAACGAAAATACGTTTAATTTACAAAAATACAAAAAAATTATTTTGATGATGATAATATTTGATTTATTGGTGTTGCTCGTTGCTGAAGAATTTTTTGTACTAAACCTTGACTGGCCATATATAATAATTGAAAACGTTTCGTCATTGTTGTTGTTGGATTTGTTTGAATATATGCATATAATTTTTTATTAAGATCAATTAATACATTATATAAATAATCTCGTACATTTGGATGTGATAAATCAAGACAAATCAATGCTTCATATAAATAACTAAATATGAAAAATAAAAATAGAATAGATGATGGTGATGATGATTTAAAAATAAATAATTTACCTATATTTTAATTCTTGATGTGTATTTAAATCAGCTGCAAGTTGTTGAATTAAAGAAAGAATAACTGGAATTTGTAATGGACATGGTTGCATTGAAAATAATTCAGATGGACGGATATTTTCACATAGATATAAAACAAGATTTAAATCAGATGCCGATAAAACATATTCAAATGCTTGATTTAATTGGCCAGAATGAACAAATTTCAATGCAGTTTGTTGTTTAATATCAGTTGTTAAAGTTTTATTTGTTAGATTAGATGATGCAACAGTAGCTACTGGAGTTGTTGCTTGACTAACTGCTGATTGTGGTTTTGGTGTAATTGTTCTCTGTTGTTGTTGTTGTTGTTGTTGTTGTTGTTGTTGTTGACGAAGATGTTGAACAATTAAAGTATTTATTTCATTTTTTTGTGTAACTAATAATTCACGTAAAATATTTGTGATTTCATCACGAATAATTGATTGTATCATCTCTCGAATTCTATTAATCAAAGAAAAAAAAAAAGCTTTTAGCACAATCCCTGCAGGATTAAAATATGAAACACGATGTAGCTGGTGTTGCTAATTAGAGGAAGATTTTTTTGTATTCTATCTATTTTGGAATACAATTCTTCATCATTCTTTTACTTAATCTTCCAGAAATCAAATAAGAAAGTAGTTCATATATTAACAATATCCGTCACGTCTGTATTGGCTAGAGCCCCGCCGCATCAGAGTTGGCGTTGATGTAAGTTATACAAACTCTGAAGATCCTGTTTCATTCTTTTCTTATATAGCATTTATTTTTGATGATTTTAACGTTAAGTAACCGAAAACTGTCAAGTCAATAGTGAGGTAATATGAAATAGAAAAGAAAACGCACGAAAATATCTACACTAGATCAAGTTTCACAAGTGATTATTGCAAAAAAAAACAAAGATCAATGCCATTGAATATCTCCGATTTCATCATTAGATATATTTACATTATGTTCACGTTGCCTTAAGAAGATTCCACTTCTCTTTTTTTGACCGTTGCTGATTCTCAAAGATCTTGATTTTCCGTAGGATCACATCGAATTTGTTTACGACCGTTCTCTAGCTTTGTCCAATCAATCTGAGATTTTGATCACAGATATCTGTAAGTATTTTCCAGCGATAAAATCGGCCGGTTTCGTTGTTGACGTTCCTATCCGGATTTATAGAGTTCCGAACGTCAGTACTCCATTTTTGGATCACAATCTTTACGTATTTCTCTCATAAAAAACAAAGAAAGCGAAATTTTTGAAAAAGTATAGAATCATCTCTGAGACGTGGTCTAAGGTATCTTCAAAAAAAAAAACTTTCAGTCTGTAAGTGGATCCGATATAGTCCTATGGAAAACTTACAAAAACCTTGTTTAAAGCTTTTTTCTTCGAACACTCGTCTCCTTATTTTAGATACTCTATTTGTGAGAGAAATTTCATACGAATCTATGGTACTCTATTCGAGAACCAGAATTAACTAATTTACGAGAAAAAAAATTCGGGGTTAAAAGATCACTCGTTACTAAGATGTGTGTGAGGGGTCCAGATTTCTACCTCTATACTTCAATACTGCTTTTAGATCGTGTTTCACAAAAAAAAAATAATAAAGTTTTAGTTTAATGATATAATCTTACAAAGGTGTAAGATTTGTTGTCATATATTGAGTAATTTCATTTTGAAGCATATTTATTAATTCTTGATTTTTCTTTTCAAATTCTTTTAATAATTGTGTTGATTCTTTACGTATTTCAGTCATCATTTGTTCACGTTGTTGAATTAATGAACGTTGTTGTTGACGACCATATTCGATCATTTCTTGTAAATCTATATATTATAATTGTTTATTTATTTGAAAAAAATATATAAATTATATATTACATTCTTTTGTACCACGTTTAAATACATCATTTGTTTGTTGAAACATATTTGTTGCAGCTTTTTCAAATGATGGTATAACAATTTGATTAAATGTATCACGATAGGATGTGATCATTGTTGTTTGAATTGCATTTGCTACGGCATTACTTAATGAATCAATCATCGTCTAATATTAATTACATAAAATATAACATAAGAAAAATAAAAATAAAAGAAAAATTAGTGAATAAAACCTTTGAACGAAATATTTGTGTTATTGTTTGTTTAATAACTGTATCAGTAGCTAATAATTTTGCAGCTAACTCTTTATGTAAATTATCTTTTAAATCTCGATATGGTTCAAATACAGATTTCATTGCTATAATGAAAAAAAAAAAATTTTTTTTTATGGATGAAATATTATTTGTTTTTCATACCTGCTTGTACATATGTTTGAATTTTTTCTATAAGTATAGTTTCTAATCGATCATAATGTGCATCGGTTAAAGTTAGTTCGGGTTCATTTGTTGTTATTATATCAATTGGTGCTGTGCTAGGACTTGGCCGACTTGGTCGAGAAGTGACAACTAAGGATAAATGAAAATTGAAATTCAAAAAATTTATCATCTCGTACGCTTATTCTTTCACGATACTCGTAATGGCAATTTATGGATAGTCCTGGAGAAAAGTAGTCGCTCGTTATAAAATGTTACTATTCTTTATTATACTGAATTGATACTTTGAATGCATGCGTGTGGTAATAAACCCTGATCACAAGCATCAACTTGCTCTCCATTAACTCACATGTACTAGAGTTTTGATTCGTACATTGTCTTTCTCTTGTAAAAAAGGATATATTCAGCAGAAATATACACTGGAAAGGGTTTGATTGATGATTTTGCTATTCCACAAATTACTACTGGTTTTTTTTCTACCGCTAAAGGTACTCCTTATATGTGTATTTTATTATCATCAAAGATCGTGATACGTAGTCAAGATCTTTATATGATAAAAATCATAAACTATCGTTCATAGAAAAGTTAATTATGATTTTATTATTGAAATTTAACTGAAAACAGAAAAATATATGATTCCGTTACTAACAAAACCCTAGGGAAAAGAAGTATTATCATAGAAAACAATTGAATTTGTTTTGTCATTTTATCTCTCATGAGAATTTGATTGATGAAGAAAAGATAAACATAAGCAAAATGAGATTTTTATTCATTCTAAACAAACTATATTCTCTTTAGTATCTAATGAATGGTCTATTATTCGAATGATTTTTTTTTTTACTAAAATACCAGTTTGTTCGAGATTAATCAATCTATCAACTTTGCTTGTTAATTGTTCGAGACGTTGACAACATCGTTCAAGTTTTTCATCATATGCTGGTTGATATGTTGTTTGTGAAATAGGTTCAGACGATAGATTTGTTACATGTGAACGATGTTGATTTAATTGATGAGTTAATTCACGAATAGCATGCAATGCCTTGACAATAAAAAAAACAAGTCTATAACAAAACAGAATAAAATCTTTTTATTCTACTAACATCAACATTTAACGGTATTTGAGAACTATTTGGTGACCGTCCACTACGACGTTTTACACGTGAATGTAATAAATCTTCTTCATCAGCTGTTGAATCATCATCTCTATCACTTTATTAGAAAAAAGAAAAAGAAATTCAATAAAATAATATTATATAGGGTGTCCAGTAAATGACTAGAGTTAGAAAAAATTGCATATCTCTCTGCTACGGCTCGAGCAAACAGGCTGATTTTTCTACCAATAATAGAAGCATGTTCACACTTTAAATCCATACAGACAAGATTAGAAAGAGCCTTTGTTAAGTACCACCAACGACCTCAACAAAAAAATTTTACTTTTTCACAGATAAGAAAAAAAACAATAGACTTAACAAAGGATCTCTCTAGGCATGTCTTTATGAGTATAAAGCTTGGACATGCCTCTATCATTGATAAAAGAATCAGCTCTTTTGCTCGAGCCATAGTGAAGATATTCAATTTTTTTGCGGCAAAGTGACTTTTGCGCTACTCCGTATAGTGTTCTTTTCCTATCTGTGAAAAAGTAAAATTTTTTTTGTTGAGGTCGTTGGTGGTACTTAACAAAGGCTCTTTCTAATCTTGTCTGTATGGATTTAAAGTGTGAACATGCTTCTATTATTGGTAGAAAAATCAGCCTGTTTGCTCGAGCCGTAGCAGAGAGATATGCAATTTTTTCTAACTCTAGTCATTTACTGGACACCCTATATATTTTATATAAACTTTACCTTGTTTCTCCTGGATCACTAAAGTCATCCAAAACTTGATGACTTGATGTTTTTAATCCTCTAAATAAATAAACAACAATGAATTTTAAAGAAGAAAATACGAAATATGAATCGTCCTACTTCATTGGACTTTCACCTCCGGAATGGCATGATTTTGACCAAAGTGAATCATCACGATATTTCGATGGTGATACAAGTGGATCTTGATTATCATTAATCTATTAAACAAATAAACAAACAAACAATTAGAATTCTTTTCTTTTTAAATTTT